CGATCCCCCCAAAAAAAATAAGAAGAATTTTTTTTAAAAAGTACTCATACAGTTTGTTTGCATTGAATGGTGCCCAGCTTTTGGACTCTGTCAAGATTTTTTTTTTTTTTTTTAGTAAAAATCCCAGAAGGGAAGGGTGCAGTTCCCCCATTATTACCACCAGAGGTCGCTGCTGTCTGTGGTTGGGTCCTAGCTAGACCCTGGGGCCTCTCTGCACCTGCCCTCAGCTCTGGCTTTCTGCCTTCATCTTTAGGAGCTGGCCTTCATCTCCCTCCTCCCTTAATACTTCTCTTATCCCATCATCTCCCATAGTTATTGTATTCATTCAGAATCAAGAAGTGAACCAAAATTATCTAAGCCAGACTATCTTGTTCACTGAGCTGGTGCGGGCTTTTCTGTAGCTCATCTGGAAGGCATTGGAACATGAGCTCTGTGTGGCTCAGTATTCTGATTTTGCAGAATATAAAAGGGTAGGGCTTTTCTGCCCATAGGAAATCTCTAAATGTTTCAATATTGGCGATTGGTTACAATTTTTCCAAGCCCGGTCTAGTGTATCAAATTAGTCTATCTGGTCTTACCTTGTGGATATCACATTGCAGCTTCTGTGTGTGTGTGTGTGTGTGTGTGTGTGTGTGTGTGTGTGTGTGTGTGTTTGCCAGCCCTGAAACTTGAACTCAGGGTCTGGGTGCTAGCTCCAAGCTTCTCCTTCTCTCTCTTTCTCTCTCGCTCTCTCTCTCGCTCTCGCTCTCTCTCAGCTGGCACTCTACCACTTGAGCCACAGCTTTACTTCTAGATTTTTTGTAGAGAAGAGTCTCATAGACCTTCCTGTCTGGGCTGCTTCAAACTCAGATCTCAGCCTCCTGAGTAGCTAGGATTGCAGGTGTGAGCTACCAGCACCGGTCTGTACTGGCTGTTCTTGAAATTGTCTCACTTCTTGCCTGGCTGGCTTCCTGTTGTAGCTGGGATGACAGGTATGCACTACCATGCCCCGCTTCTTCCCTTGAGATGGAGTCTTTTGGATTTTCTATCTAGACTGGCCTTGAACCCTCAAGCCTCCCAACCTCAGCCTCCTAAGTAGTAGCTAGGATTACAGGTATAAACCCCTGGTGCAGTCTTCCTGAAGATACTGGCCAGTAGCTGAGAGTAACTGCCAGGGGACAATGACCCTTGGAAAGGCCTACATTGTAAGTGGCTCAGAGTCTCCTTGATTCTCACTTCCAGGATGCAGAGTCTCCTGGTTTCTCTTCCATGAATGTGTGAGGAGCATCTTTACCATCCCTTGGTGCCCAAGCAGAATCAGCAACCTGGAGATATTGAAAGCCCCATGAGTATCTTGCCTTCCTGAGCTGCCCAGCTTCACTCCTTCTGGAAGACTTTTTTTGGGGGGGGTCAGTCATGGGGCTTGAACTTGGGGCCTGGGTGCTGTTCCCAAGCTCTTTTGCTTAAGTCTAGTGCTCTATCACTTTGGGTCTGGTCCTGGGGCCTGAACTCTGGGCCTGGGCGCTGTCCCTCAGCTCTTCAGCTCAAGGCTAGCACTCTACCACTTGAGCCACAGTGCCACTTCCACTTTTTTTTTCTGCTTATGTGGTGCTGGGGAATAGAACTCAGGGCCTCATGCATGCAAGGCAAGCACTCTACCACTGAGCCACCTTCCCAGCTGCTCTATCACTTTAAGCCACAGTGCCATTTCCAGTTTTCTGGTGTTTAACTGGAGATAAGAGTCTCATAGAGTTTCCTGCCCAGGCTGGCTTCAAACCACAATCCTCAGATCTCAGCCTCCTAAGTAGCCAGGATTATAGACATGAGCCATTGGTACATGGTGTGGAAAACTTTTTCACACCCAGCCAGGAAGTGTGATCACAGATGCAGAATTGAAAATAGATGTGGCAGAGGCAGTGTCCCATTTAAAAGTGGCAGGATGGGTTCTTCCTAGGCCCGACTGGAACATGTATGCCTAAGGAGGCCAGGAACTGCTTGATCCTGTCCCTCACTGGGCATCTGGGGACTGTGGATAGAGGTCCTGTTCTGTCTTTGCTTCTAGAACAAGGGCAAGCAGTCCTTAATATCCTTCTTAACCTGGAAGTGAAAAAGGCCTGACTCAGTGATGGAGCTGATACATTATGCCCTACCCCAGCTCCCTAATCCATGTCCACCAAAGGAATAATATAATCAAGATGCCCACAGCCAAGGGCTAAAGATTTCCATGTGCCTGTTGGGAGCTCCCTAAAGATCTCTCTCTCTCTCTGTCTCTCTCTTCTCTCTCTCTCTCCCTCTCCCTCCCTCCCTCTCTCTCTCTCACACACACACATATGCACATACACACAAGTATAAATGCATGCATGGACACACAGCCTGTATTCATATGCTCACACGGGCCTCTGTGATCACTGCCACTGACTTGTCCAAGGAGCAGTGTTTGGAAAGATGAGATTAATTGCATGTACTCACTTTCCCTTCCCCACAACTGGATTTCTGAGAGGAACAACTTAAAGGGGAAAAGGCTGTCTTGTCTTTTTAGCTCATGGGTCTGGAGGTGTCAGTCAGTGGTTGGCTGGATCTGTTCCTTTCAGTTAATTCTGCAGCTTGGCAGGACATGAGAGCAGAGCAGAGGAGGAAGGAGAGCTGCTTCCCTCATGGTGGCCAGGAAGGAAGGAGAGCCAGATGGGGGGGAGGCAGGGCGGGAGAACAATGAGAGAGATATAGAGGAAAGAGAGCTGGGAGAGAGACAGAAAAAGAAAGGGAGAAAAAGAGATTCAAATAGAGGAAAGAGACATAGATTTGGGGGGGGGACAAAGAAGAGATGGAGAAGCCAGGTGACTCAGGCCTGTAATCCTAGCTACTCAGGAGGCTGAGATCTGAGGAGTGTGGTTTAAAGCCAGCCCAGGAAGGAAAGTCCATGAGATTCTTATCTCCAACCAACCAGCAAGAACCTGGAAGTGGAGCTGTGGCTCAAGTGGTAGAGTGCCAGCCTACCTTAGCAAAAAGGCCAAGTTAAAGAGCATGGAGGCCCTGGATTCAAGCCCCAGGACTGGCATACAAAATGACGAGAGTGATCCTCATTGCTCTGGAGTCTCCCCTCCCCCATCCGGTATCGCCTACACTCAGAACCCAAACCCAGCTGGAAAGTTGGGGAATCTGGAGCTGGAGAGATTCTCAGAGCCAGGCAAGAGAAGGAGAGAAACTATCAATGGATCTGACCACCGAGCAACTGTGCGTGTCCCTTCACCATAATTGAACATGGGTGTGAACTAACCACCATCCCTTGCATGGGTCCCCCATTAGAGGCAACCCCCAGATTCTTTATCCAGTCTCACATCGTGTGGAGTCCATAGCTTTCAAGGGATCAGGGAATTCTGTGTTTAATCAAGTGTGTCCCTGGCCCCAGGCACCATGCTGAGCCAATGCTTGGAACATGGAAGTTCAGTTCCAAAGGGGAGGGTGGGTGGAAAAGTCTTTTTTTCACCAGGGCTGGTGATCCTGCCTGGAAATGGGAGAGCACTTCCTCTGCAGCCCCCCAAGAGCTCCTCTCAGCACCCATGTAGACCTACCTGTGAGCCTCAAAAGAACAGAATCTCTGTGTGTTTGGCCAGCTTAGGTCCTTGTGTCTATGAACGGATCAAGAGAAACCCTGAATCATATTTTCAGAAGGAAAAGAACATTCAGAACTAGTGGGAGGCTGGCTGCCAGTGGCTCCCACCTGTAATCCTAGATACTCAGGAGGCTGAGCTCTGAGGATCACAGTTTAAAGCCAGCCCAGGCAGAAAAGTCCCCGTGAGCATCTTATCTTTAATTAACACTCAAAAATGAGAAGTGGTGCTGTGGCTCAAAGTGGTAGAGTGCTAGCTTTGAGCAAAAGAGCTCAGGGACAGTGCCTGGGCCCTGATTTCAAGTCTCAGGACCCACAAATTAAAAAAATAAAAAGCAAGTAGGAGGGGACAGGGGACAGGGGGAGAGCCAAGGGAGAATGTCTGTGACCCAAGCATGATACATGTGTGTGTGAAGATGGAACAGCCATGACTATTAACTTGATTAATTACTATGCATTCGCAATTGCAACAAAATAACACATGCATTACATAGATAACTAATATTGAACTTTTGTTGTTGTTTTCGTGGTTGTATTGGGGCTTGAACTCAAGGGCTCCTCACACATTCTAAACTTGAGCCACACCTCTAGGTCTTTTAGTTTCTAATTTTAGTTTTTCAGAGAGGGTCTCACATTTTTCCCCAGTTGGCCTCAGACCAGGATCCTTCTGCCTCTCATGGAGCTGGGACTACAGAGTCCTGCTAACCATTTCCCCCTCTCCAGGAGGTCTCTTAAACTGTCTCTCTCTCCTCTTCTCTCCTCCCCTCTCCTTTCCTTTCCTCTCCTTTCCTAGTACTGGGGTTTGAACTCCAAACCTAAGATCTGGCTTGGGCTTTTCTGCTCAGTACTGGAGTTTTGTTTTTTTTTTTTGTGGGTCATGGGGCCTGAACTCTGGGCCTGGGCACTGTCCCTCAGCTCTTCAGCTCAAGGCTAGGGCCCTACCACTTGAGCCACAGCGCCACTTCCAGCTTTTTCTGCTTATGTGGTGCTGAGGAATCGAACCCAGGGCCTCATGCATGCAAGGCAAGCACTCTACCACTGAGCCACCTT